ATTGCCCATTGCGAATCACCCCTACACGCCCACGTGCCCCGTAGCTGCTATTGTACGAACCACACAAGGCCAGCGAGGCAGTGCAGCACGTCGGCGATTACCGTATCACGGGGTTGTCTGCAACACGTAACAGCTGCCTGCTGCCGTGTGCAAACCTCGGCATTCATGAAGCTCAATACAATTACACACTTAACACACATATAAATACACACGAGAGCAAGAAGTGCATGCAAGTCGCGCTTAGGTGGCTAGCTCTCGCTTGCTGACCGCCAGCCACACCCCCTCCGCGGGCCCGTACGTGAGGCCGGTGCGGGTGCGGAGGGGCAGCTGCTGCTGCGGGTGCAGGTGGAAGACGAAGCGTCGCAGCAGGCTAGCCAGCGTGGCCTTGGAAACCTGGGTGGAGCGAGAGAAGCAAGTAATGGGGCGGGATGGGAGGGATGTGTAGGGGAAGGGACTACCGGTAGCGCCGGTGGAGCTAGCTATTACCCACCTGCAACCTGTTTTACTCCCCTGAACCAGCCCCGAACCTCAGCCCTCTAAACCCCAGCCCCTCCCAGCAGTCACATTCCCCTTCCGCCCCTCCGCTTCCTCCCCCTCCCTCCCCTGCTCCCTCACCATTAATGCCAGCTTGTACCCCACACACATGCGCGCCCCCATGCCGAACGCAGCCCAGGCAGCCGGGTGGCGGGGGCCCAGCAGCCCGCCCCCGCCCTCACCCCCGCCGCCCTGCTCCTCCTCCGCCTCCTGCCCGCCACCGCCGCCAGCCGCAGCCCCATGCGCCATGAAGCGCTCGGGCCTGAAGGCCTCCGGCTGCGGCCACAGCCGCGGGTCGTGGTGCAGTGCGTGGGTGGCGAGGGCCAGGAAAACTCCCCTGCAGGGCGGGAGGACGCACACAGGGGCGGGCGAAAACTTCAGTACTCCAACACGCAGGGGTTGGAATCGATGGCCGGGTAGGCATGTGCGACTGTGTCCTCTGGGCTCCTCCAGGCTCCTCTAGGTTCCTGGTATAAGAAGATGTGTTGCATGAGCACTGCTGTCGCAGCCGCTGCTGACCGGCATACCGTCAGCTTGGGTCCTTCACATGCATACCCCGGCTCTGAACGTTATGGCGTTGCGCAGCGAAAACGCTGTAATCTGCACCCCGCAACATGCTGCCTTGCGTTAGGCTGCTTTGCAATTTTCACATATTCTCCTCCCCCCGCCTTAACCCGACTTGACCATCGTAACACTAAAGCCTAGATCACCGTAAACCTGACTTTATTCTATTGTACACCCACTTCGGCACCACCATGCCGCCTCCGAGGTCCATGTCCTGACGAGCTTCCCGAAACAGCACCGAGCCAGCCGGGTACAACCGCATGGTCTCCTTCAGTACGGCCTCGATGTACGGCAACTGGCGGGGGTACGACACATTGTGTACGGCAGTGGTGTTAGGCTTGGCATTGGGAGGGAAGCAGTTAGCAGTTGGGGGTGCTGGAAGGCAGGCAACCTGGCCAAGCGTCGTCGTCAAGAACCGCCCCCTCCCCCTCGTCAACATGCCTCTCTGCCCCCTGTCGTACCTTCCCCAGCAGCTCAGGCGACAGCTCCCCGCCCGCCCCCTCCCCTCCCATCACAGCCTCCGCCTCCGCCGCCGCCCGCCGCTGCGCCTCGGGGTGCGCCGCCAGCAGCAGCAGCGCAGTGCTGAGGGTGGTGCTGGTGGTCTCGTAGCCGGCGGCGAGGAAGGAGAAGCCCTGCGCAATTACCTGGTGGTTAGGGGTTACCGAAGGCGGCGGCGCATGCGGTTTCAGGACATGGACAGGTTTCACGTATTGGACTGGAACTGGAATAGTGTAAGCGGGCGGGGATTCCTGCCTAACTGCTTCGACCATGTAGGATGACGAGGAGCCCTGCAAGCATGCATGCCGGTATATGCAACATCCCCGGCGACGACACCATCCACATACCGGCTGCTGGTGGATGGAAGCCAGAGAATCTCAATCCCGCTCCTGATCTGCATGACTTCCTATCCAAACCCCAAACCAACCCCAGTTTCACCCCACTGTATCCTTCCCCTCGCTATGTGTCCCTCTTTACCTCGATTTCACTGAGAGGATCTGCGCCCTTGCACCCCCGCCATCATCGCTGCCAGGAAGCTGCTGCCGCCCAGCCCCCCGCCAACCTCCCGGAAACCACCTCCCCCACCAGCACCCCCACCCCCACCCCCGCCCTCCTCCTTCTCCCTCTGCTGCTGCCAGGCCCGCATGAGATGGCGGCTGGTAGCGGCCACGGCGCTGCGAGCAGCCATGGCCCTGCGCTGCCGCCGGTCGGGCAGCAGTCGTGCGGCCGCGCGGATGAGCGGCTGCAGGGCGGGCAGGGCCAGCTGCAGCGGCAGGTAGGCACTGGCGTTCTCGAGGCGCATGGTGTCAAAGGTGGCCTTGCAGGCAGACGCCAGGGCGGAACCAGCGGGGGAGGAGGAAGGGAAGGAGTCGGTGATGGGGTTGCTGCGGTTGGTGTAGCCGTTGTGGGTTTCATCCGCAGGAAGAGCGCCGAAATCGACCCTGCAACGGTCATGGGGAGCAGCATTGCGTCTAGTCGCCTTTCGCTATATTCTTTGCTCCTTATAGCAGCAGTCTTCACACCGTGTTTCGACGTGTCTTTGTACTTGTGCGACTATGTGGGCAGGGCAGGCCCGCATTCCCACCCGTACGGCACCAGCTCTCACCCGTACGCGATCTCCCCCACCATCGCCAGCATGAGGTTGCCCAGCTGGCCGCAAGCGTCCCATGGGTCGCTGCTGCCGCCCCCGGCCGCCCCCGCCGCGTGCCGCTCCAGGAGGGGCAGGAAGCGGGCCAGGCAGCGGCTCACAGAGGGAAGGTGGGAAGCCAGGCTGGGTACGGGGTCGGGGGGGGGGAGATAAGGCAACGGGACGAGGTCTGGGTGGGGTTTAGGACCAACCGACTACGTCGTACAAGAGTAATCGGGCTTTTGACAGGCTCCCGATGTTCGTTCCCGTCGCCACCTCTTCTCCTGCACCCCCACCTTCTCTGCCCTTACCGCCCCTCCCCACCTGGCCGGGTGCACGATGGACGCCTCAAACACCCTCCGAGCGCGGCGCCAGGCCTCACCCCTGGAACAGTCCATGCGGAGATGCAAGGGTGGGGTTTCAAAACATGGTCACGGGGGAGAGGCCGATTACGAAGGATGTTGGACGTCATTCCACTACTCGACCGATGCACCAGAACCCAGCTACCCAGGTGACAGCTGACGCCTGACTAATACTGCAATAATCCTCATGGCCGCGTTCCCTCTACTCACTATGTCATTAATAAGTTATTAACCCTCATGACCGCTCACCCCGCCATGAATATGCCGGCTTGGTCGACGTCCCAGTTCTCCCCGGTGAGCACATGCAGGTAGTCGGCAGTGTCGGCGGGCCGCAGCGCGGATTGGGCCACCTTGCTGCGTGCGGGGGGGGGGAAAAAGAAATTCCAAAGTGTGGTGTGATAATGACATGGCGGGGGGAAGGGGGGCGACGCGGCCAGACGGTGCGGTGGGAGGGCGGGGGCGTATGAGGAATGGTTTTTGGCACGAAAGGTGGGGGCCCGCTAACATGGCGGTGCCCGTCTGGCTGCGCGTTTGCATGCTGGATTGTGGAGGTTGACCGCATGTGTGTTATATCAATTGCATGTGTGAAAACAACTGAGCCGCGTGTGTGTTAAACCGTGCATGCGTGGAAGACAGCTACATGAAATACTCGATCACACTCACCGAACGAGGTCCGGATCGCTGATTACCACCCAAGGCCGGCTGCCGAACCAGATCTGGGGAAGGAAGGGCAGTGCACACACATCCGCTGCGGTCAGAGCCCGCATTGCAACTCCCTGCCGTCGTTGGAGCAACAGGTATGTGTCACGGAGATACATACATATCTTGAACCGCAAGAAGCTGTGGGGGTGTTGCATCAGGTTGCATCGTAAAATGTACGGAATGGCACCAAGATGCTGTGCGCAACCATGGGTTGTACGGTACCTTGCAAACGGGTCCGTACTTCCTGGTCACGTGTTGCAGATAGGCGGTGAGGTCCATTGAGGCAATCTGAGGCAGGTTGCCCAGGAAGGGGAGGCCAAAGGGGCCTGCGCGACAGAAGGGATTGGGCAGTTAAGGCGCGGAACAGGGAGGGAACAAGAAGCCCAGTTGCTAGAGAGAAAGCCAGGCAAGGGAAGGAGGAGCAGATTGAAGGAGAGGAAGGGAGCGCCGACGTGCATATCTGCACCCTTGTGTCACCGCATGCATGTGCGCTCAGAAACGGCCTGGATAAGGTGTAGTACACATGGGATGTCATGCTGCGACAAGGACACGACAGCAGTTGTCGGGCAGCAAAAGGGTTTAGATGTTGGAGGGATAAGGCTATGAATTGAACGTATGTGTTGGACGCTTGTTTGTCGCAAACGGACGAGTAAGGCAACATTGCGCGACGATGCAGGATGTCCATCCAGCTTACAGCCATGGTTACCTGGAATGCGTCTCAGTCTCAATTGATGAAATGGACGCCATCCAAGCCAGGTAACCTACGCTCACATGCAAGATAACTCGAATAAGTCGGGACAGATAACCCAGCATTCATCCAGCATGCCTCCGAGGCAACATCGACCGGCCCACAAGTAAAAGAGTGGATTACCCAAACGGCACGTACCAAGACGACAAGCACAAGAAGGGAGCTCCCGACATATGACTGACCGAGCATGCTAAATACCGGTTGAGGATTTGGCAGCATCCTTGCAAGATGTGCGAGCCTGGTGGTTTGAAGAATGAAAGCGATTCAAAAAGTGTTTGAGGTTAATGTGTTTGAGCGTGTAGCACGATGCAACTCCTGCCTAGACTTCGACGTCTTCCGCCGAAGGGCGGAACGCGGCAACTAATAAGCGTGCGTCCGTACCAATCGCGTGTGCCGGCAACGCATTAGCCCCGAAAGCGGTACATCACACATGTTTAAGAGGAGTTGAACGCGCACGTTTTCTTATTGTTGTCGCAGCTAGGCTGTCAGCTTACCAGGCCGGGCTTCCTGCCTAGCTAGGCCTACCTAGGAAGGCTGCAACACGGCGACCAGGCAATTGCCCGGTTTTGCAACTGCAACTTTCACCATACCGAAACTAGATTGCAGTTAAAATTGTAGGATATAGGCTTCTGCGGCTTTTGTGTCGAACATGCTACTACAGCCGTTAACAAGCCTCTGCCAGACACCTCTTGGTGGTGTTGTTCTGGCCTTTGTGGTAATCGTAAGCAAGAGACGTTTGGTTGTGTTTCTCTTACAGGCATGGTTTGTAGGCATCGATTCCTGTGGCCATAGGACCACTTGCTATTCTTTTATTTGCCTGCAGATCACCTGGCTGGGATCGTATCCATTTCAAAGATGGAGGCTACGGCGCTTTCCAGGTCAGTGCCTAGCTAAGCCAATGGCATCGTGTCATGGCATGGCATGAAGTCGACGCTTGCGTCAACCAACGGCAGAGGATTTAGTAGAAGTAACAACCAAACTCTGGCGATAGAAGCGCTCATCCAATGCGCACGTCTGTGTTAACAGACGCGGTTGCTTGCTTAAGTCCCTACCGTTGGCCATCCAGGGAGCATCGCACATATGAACCTCAAGCTTGTAGTTCGCTCTTCCGGTTCCAATCTTGTCGCGAGACAATTTTGCAGTATAGTTGGTGCTTGGAGCCAGTTGGCTGGTGTTCGGCCGAGCGACCCATTTGTAGCCATCCCTAATAAACATTTACCGGCTGCAATTCCCGTCCTGCCTTCATGCCCCTACATAAGTCCTTCCCCTTCCTGCCTTCCTGCCCCGCCTCCTACCTTTCGCAGGCCCCTTTGGCCTGCCCTTCCTGGGCAACCTGCCTGAGATTGCCTCAATGGATATGACCGCCTACCTGCAACATGTGGCCAGGAAGTATGGGCCTGTTTGCAAGGTAACAGCGGCAGCGACAAACGGATGAGGGCATTCTTGCGTGTCGGAGAACGAAAGGGGACACCTGCCCCCCTTTCCAGGCCAGGCCAAGCACGGCCACCTGCTGGTGTTTGATAAGTCCCTCCCCTTTCCGGATAACACCCAACTCTTGATTCTGTGGGTGGTGGTGCATGGCCGTTCTTAGTTGGTGGGTTGCCTTGTCAGGTTGATTCCGGTAACGAACGAGACCTCAGCCTGCTAAATAGTCAGCATCGCACCTGCGGTGCGCAGACTTCTTAGAGGGACTATTGGCGTTCAGCCAATGGAAGTATGAGGCGATAACAGGTCTGTGATCAGGCGAATCAATCAGAATTCGACGGACAGGCAACATGTCTGTCAACACCTTACCTTGTTCCTTGCACACGTATGTGCCACATTGTATCACGCGGTGCCTCCTGTGGCTCCTTCCTTCCCCAGATTTGGGTTGGCAGCCGCCCTTGGGTGGTGATCAGCGATCCGGACCTCGTGCGGTGAGTGTTTGAGTGTGTACGGCGTACCTGCACTGGGAGGGTGTATGTACGGCAAAAGGACATTACGGTAGACGACCAGGATGTTACGTTACCCTCCCCGCTCTCGCTCCCTCTCTGACCCCGCCGCCTCAGCAAGCTGGCCTACCAGTGCACCGCGCGTCCCTCCGACGGGTCCTCCTACCTGCATGTCATGACCGGGGAGATCCGAGATATCGATCAAGCGGGAATCCTGATGGTCAAGTGAGTGCGAGGTGGTTGGGTTGGTTGGTTGGTTGGTTGGTTGGTGGTTGGTTGTGCCGTACAGCGCTGCCACGCAACGTGTTAAGAAAACTGGCCGCGAGTAGGAACGTACTGGGAACGTGTGTGCCCAACTGAAATCCATCATCATTTGCTGTACGCTATTCCTGGTCTGCTGCCGCAAGTTGTCTGTTAGGGTGTTGCGTTCGCCCTCATGCCCGTCCGGGAGGGGTGGTTTGGGATGCATGGTGTATGGTGTATGGTGGCGGGTTGCGAACCTGAGGCCCCGAACACATCTGACACCTGTGTAGCGGTAACGCGTTAGGATGCCAGACTGCATACCGCATACCGCATGGGGGTGTCACCGAACCGCCGGGGCTCTGCTTGTCGTCGCCCACCACCCTCCGAATCCCACCCTTGCTTCCCCGCATGGACTCATCCAGGGGTGAGGCCTGGCGCCGTGCTCGGAGGGTGTTCGAGGCATCCATCGTGCACCCGGCCAGGTGGGGAGGGGCGGTGCAGGCAGAGGAGGTGAGGGTGGAGGAGAAGAGGTGGCGACGGAAAGTTCAGGAGCCTGTCTGGAATTCCCGATTGCTCTTGGATGAGGTCCTTAGCCTATGTTGTTCACGCCTCGCGCCTCTGAATGTAACCCAACACCACCCAAACCTCGACCCGTTGCCTTGTCTCACCCCCCACCCACAACATACCCAGCCTGGCTTCCCACCTTCCCTCCGTGAGCCGCTGCCTGGCCCGCTTCCTCCCCCTCCTGGAGCGACACGCGGCGGGGGCGGCCGGGGGCGGCCGCAGCGACCCATGGGACGCTTGCGGCCAGCTGGGCAACCTTATGCTGGCGATGGTGGGGGAGATCGCGTACGGGTAAGAGCTGGCTAACTTGGTGCCGTACGGGTGGGAATGCGGGCATGCCCTGCCCACATAGTCACACAATTACAAAGACTCGTCGAAACGCGTTGAGCTGCTTCTGGCAACCATGTCCTTTACGGGAAATACGTGCTGTTATTGATGGCCCAATGCAGGGTCGATTTCGGCGCTCTTCCTGCGGATGAAACCCCCAACGGCTACACCAACCGCAGCAATTCCATCACCGACTCCTTCCCCTCCTCCTCCGCTGGTTCCGCCCTGGCGTCTGCCTGCAAGGCCACCTTCGACACCATGCGCCTCGAGAACGCCAGTGCCTACCTGCCGCTGCAGCTGGCCCTGCCCGCCCTGCAACCGCTCATCCGCGCGGCCGCACGACTGCTGCCCGACCGGCGGCAGCGCAGGGCCATGGCTGCTCGCAGCGCGGTGGCTGCTACCAGCCGCCATCTCATGCGGGCCTGGCAGCAGCAGAGGGAGAAGGAGGAAGGCGGGGGCGGGGGTGGGGGTGCTGGTGGGGGAGGTGGTTTCCGGGAGGTTGGTGGGGGTCTGGGTGGCAGCAGCTTCCTGGCGGCGATGATGGGGGGGCGCAAGGAGGGCGGAGGAGGCGGCGGGGGCGGGGGACAGGCGCTGAGCGAGATTGAGGTGGGTGGAAGGAGTGATTGGGGATTGGGGGCAGAGGAGGTGGGAGAGGGGGGGGGCATGAGGGGAAGGAGGTCGCGAGGGATGGAACGGAAAGCAGACAGGGGTTGGGAGCAGGGAGGGAGGGAGGCAAGAGGTAAGGGCAGAAAGGGTATGCTGCAGAACGTGGTTGAAACATTGAAGTAAGAGCGGACTTGCATGGGGGCCCTTACCCTTAATGTTCATGGATTCTTCGCAACCCACCTCCACGAAATGCACACCTCCTGTGCTCTGCGCCTCACCCCCACACGCCCACTTTCCACCCCCACCCCTTCCAGGTCATCGCTCAGAGCTTTTCGTTCATCATCGCCGGCTACGAGACCACCAGCACCACCCTCAGCACTGCGCTGCTGCTGCTGGCGACCCACCCCGAGGCGCAGCGGCGGGCGGCGGCGGAGGCGGAGGCGGTGATGGGAGGGGAGAGGGCGGGCGGGGAGCTGTCGCCTGAGCTGCTGGCGAAGGTACGACAGGGGGCAGAGCGGCATGTTGACGAGGGGGAGGGGGCGGTTCTTGACGACCCCGCTTGGCCAGGTTGCCTGCCTTCCAGCACCCCCAACTGCTAACTGCTTCCCTTCCATGCCAAGCCTAACACCACTGCCGTACACAATGTATCGTACCCCCGCCAGTTGCCGTACATCGAGGCCGTACTGAAGGAAACCATGCGGCTGTACCCGGCTGGCTCGTTCCTGGTCCGGGAGGCGCGGGAGGACACGCAGCTGGGACGCGGCCTGGTGGCGCCCAAGTGGGTGGTTAGGGTGGTTGGGGTGGTTAGTTGGGGTGGCTGTGGTAACCACCATGAGAGGGATGTGGCTCCCTGACGTGACCATGTGAAGTGGGTTGGGGTGGCGGGTTGGGGTTACCGTGACGTCTGGGCTTGGGAAACAATCCAGCATCCAGGGTCTTTACAACAAGCCAGCAGATCTAGATAGGGCTTACTGTGACCTTCTGAGCTTCTCATCCCCCTTCCTCTTTTCGCCCTTCTTCTCTCCATCCTCCCGCTCCTTGCCCTCCCTCCCCACCACAAAGGGGCGCCTACCTCACCCTCGCCACCCACGCACTGCACCACGACCCGCGGCTGTGGCCGCAGCCGGAGGCCTTCAGGCCCGAGCGCTTCATGGCGCACGGGGCTGCGGCTGGCGGCGGTGGCGGGCAGGAGGCGGAGGAGGAGCAGGGCGGCGGGGGTGAGGGCGGGGGCGGGCTGCTGGGCCCCCGCCACCCGGCTGCCTGGGCTGCGTTCGGCATGGGGGCGCGCATGTGTGTGGGGTACAAGCTGGCATTAATGGTGAGGGAGCAGGGGAGGGAGGGGGAGGAAGCGAACGTGACTGCTGGGAGGGGCTGGGGTTCAGAGGGCTGAGGTTTGGGGCCGGTTCGGGGGAGCCTTGGAGAGGCGGCTGGGCGAGGGGAGTAAAACGGGTTGCAGGTGGGTAATAGCTAGCTCCACCGGCGCTACCGGTAGTCCCTTCCCCTACACATCCCTCCCATCCCGCCCCACCACCACCTTCCCTCCACCCAGGTTTCCAAGGCCACGCTGGCTAGCCTGCTGCGACGCTTCGTCTTCCACCTGCATCCGCAGCAGCAGCTGCCCCTCCGCACCCGCACCGGCCTCACGTACGGGCCCGCGGAGGGTGTGTGGCTGGCGGTCAGCAAGCGAGACCTAACCACCTAAGAGTGACATGCATCGTTGCAAGCAGTTATTCCTCGTGTGTGAGAAGGTATTTAGCTTACCGAAAGGCAGGGTTTGCGTACGGCAGCTGGCAACCAGTTTTGTGTACGGATTAGGTTGCAGCGATTCGTGGATTTGTATGATGGAGTGCAGAGGCTCATTGTACGGCAACTGTACGGCAAAAGTGTATAAATGTATTATTACGTAGCGTTCCAGTATGTATGTACCGCAGAGATTATGGTGTACGGCTGTAGGTCACACAAGCAGGGGATTTGCTCGAATATGGTGTAGATGCTGTACGCTGGGAGATGTTGTGTGTTTGGATTTGGACAGGAAACTTCCCGACAGTTTGTACAGTTGGTTGCACTCCTTGTATGGGGCTAGGGGGACATTTTGCTTTTTGTCAGTTCTCTTTCTCGGCGGCCACGTTCAAGTATGTACGCATCCAGCTAGAGTCCGCCAATTACCCCAAGTAACGATACACTAGCTCATGCTGTTGTCCCCCTTCCGGGTGTGCTTTTGCCCTCCTGTGTGCTTGCTTGCCCCGCGCTGCCACTTTCCTGTTACCTGCTAGCCTACCAGTTAGCCCCTCACGGCCAGCGACCCTCACTCAATACCGTACGTCCTAGCCAGTAAAGGTTTTATACTTCCCTACCCCCCGCCACCACCCCTACTGCTCCCCCTACGCTCAGCCCATCCTGCGCATTAGTAGCCCCTTTGGCACACAGGTTGGTGACACATCACTTTGAAGGAGGGAAGTCGACACCGCTTGACAACCGCTCGCCTGTAGCTGTTAGGGTGCCGCAAGCCCTATGCCAAGCTTGGCAGCTACCGGAATACCGGAACGTAGACATTTCCGGTGCAGAATCTCTCCTGCAGAACGGCAGGAGATCGTTACCTTGGCGCTGCAACAACCCTGCTAACGCCAACACACGTTTCCTTGGCGCTGCAACAACCCTGCTAACGCCAACACACGTTTCCTTGTCGTCCTCTCTAGTCCAATTCACCCGGTACCCTATCCCGTCGCTAGTCTGCCGTCGCGTCTGCCCGTATCCCGAACCAGCCTTACATGTGTGCCCTTGTAACAGAAAACCCTTCGGAACCCAACTGGCAAGGGTAAGTTGCAGCGGCTCTGGGGTAGGTTGCGCCACAATGTTGCCAGTCATAACCGTACCACGACTTATGCCCAAGGGAGGAGTTCTCTGCTTCACCGGCCCTTCACAAGGCACCTGAAGCACCGCTACCGCGCACGCTGCCGACTTGCCGTTGCACCAGTTCGATGCATTCAGTGTACCGGTCTCACAGAGTCTCACAGCGCAATAAAGCAACAAGAGCAACGAAAACCCAGGACAACTTGCAACTCCGAATCTCACACCCCAGGGTCGTCAACCCTGGTCCATCCCGGGCGACCTTCATGACCTTGTGAACCAAGCAATCCTTTAGAAATCTCGGCAAATATAAAACACATCAATGCATGCACATGCATGAATCAACAACAGCAACAGCACGACTAACGACGTCTTCCCATTGTTGCATGCTGAAAACCCCCACCGTCTCACCCCAGCGCACCCCAAGCGACATCATCACCAAGCGACTCAAACCCTCCAGCACTCTGTAGAAAGCAAGCAAGTGTTTACTCAAACCTCCAAACGCCATCACAAGCACGTTTTCAATTCACACCATCCACATTTCATTCCATCCCTATCCTACCCGGCAATCAGTTAACCGTGACGCGGTCCGCAACCTCCGTACGACACATAGGGCATGCGTGCGTCCTCGCAAGCACGTCAGACGCGCACTGCTCGCAAAGCACGAGGTGTCCGCAGGGAATCAGAATGGTGGTCTTTTGCCGTACCATGCACACAATGCATGCATGCTCATCGTCAAGAGGTCCCCCGTCCGCTGCGCTATCCTGTAACGCCAACGCCTCATCTAACAGCGCTGCTAGCTCGTCAGCAGAGGCAGTGGCACGCGGGCCGGGTGCCGGCAGTTCCTGTACTGCAGCTGGTGCGAATGCGCTGTTTTGCATGGGAGTGGGAACGGGAACCGGAGGGCGCATGTGCGGGGCGTAAGCGGAGGAAGTGGAGGCGGCACCGGCGGCGGATAGGGCGGAGGCTGAGCGGTAGGACCAAGCGGAGGGAGCGGGGTTGGGAGGGGCAGAGGGGCCGGCACCGACGGAGGGAGCGACCCGTGGGGCGGCGTTGCCGGAGGCAGGTGCCGGCTGGGCGCGTGCGGGGCCTACACGGCACAGGAAAGGGCACAGGGATGCCATGTGAAGGCTCATACCCTATGATCGGAAGCCGCGTCCATGCCTGAAGCTCAACATGCAAAGCCAGAGGGAAGACAAACAAAGGCGACACAAACCGAGCCAAAACCAACCAGGAAACCTACTTTTCCTGCTGCTTCCAGCTCCTCCTTACCTGCAAGCCCCGCTGCAGCCCTCGCCGCCGCCGCTCCGCCGCCCACCACAGCCGACCCATAGTACGCCGCAATCAGCCTGTCCCCGCGGCTCTTCTCCTCCTCGCTCTTGGCGGGCAGCCTCATGCCGTCCTCCCATGGGACGCTGGTGCCATCTGGCAGGTCCACGAACCACTCCCCGCGTCCCTCGCCGCCCAGCGTGCTCCGCAGGGTGAGTCCCAGGGGTCTGAGGCCCTCGGCCACCGAGAGGAAGGTGGTGCGCGTGTGAAAGCCGCCGCTGGTGAGCACGATGTCGCCGTTGGGGTGCACCTGGGGGGGGAAAGGCGGGGCGGTGGGGTGGGGATGACGGTGAGGGGATGGATGCGGCGGGATGGATGGTGGTGGCCCTGCTGCTCCTACCAACGCAACCGCTCCTGCCCTGCTGTCACTGCTATGCTGCTGCTGCCATGCTGCTACTGCCCTTCTGCTATAGCCCTACTGCTCCTGCCCTTCTGCTATAGCCCTACTGCTCCTGCCCTTCTGCTATAGCCCTACTGCTCCTGCCCTTCTGCTATAGCCCTACTGCTACTGCCCTTCTGCTATAGCCCTACTGCTACTGCCCTTCTGCTATAGCCCTACTGCTACTGCCCTGCTGTCACAGCCCTGCTCTGTTCCCACCATGACAACGTCGGTCTTGTGGAAGCGCAGGCAGGCGGCGCCTTGGGCGTTGCGGTACACCTAGGGGTGGTGATGGTGATGATGGCAGTTGGAGAGGGACAAGCAGGAGGTCAGGACATGCGAACACGGCGCACCTAAAGGGGTGCTGCTAGGAGAAGGGGGTGAGGTGGGGTAGAAGATGCCGGCGCTACCTAATAACAACTGCCACCCTAGTTAACAGTGCGAAGAGGCAACGTTTGCTGTTGGGGCTACTGCGACAGCCTACGGTATACGGTATACTGCACCGCCAACACCGGCCCAAAAGAGCAAAGGGCCCGTACTTCTCAACCCCAAGCACCAGCTTCCCACCCGCTGGAACGTCTGGTAGTAGGTGTCGGATATGGGCTTGCCGTCGGCGTCATGGGTCTGCGGCCGGGGCGCACGCTGCACCGGAATGGCCCCCGCTCCGCCCTGCGCCAGACTGTACGGCGAGCGCTGCTGCTGGTTGGATCCGGATCCAGAGGCACCTGCAACGGCACCTGTGTTGAGGCGAGATGCCAGCAGCGCCGCAGCCGCTGCGCTGGTGTTGGGGCGGGCAGAGGGGGCGGCAGCCGGGGCTGCGACGGGTGACCGAGGGAGGGCCCCGCCCTGCGGTCGTCGTAAGGCGGAACCAGCTGCTGCCGATGACGTTGACGGTCCCGCTCCGGTTGCGCTAGCAGTGCTCTTCTTGGTCTTTGCGGTGACTTGGACCCAGTCGCCGTCATCGGCGTTGGCATCGCCCCCGAAGCCTGCTAAAATCGCGAAGGCTCCGCCGGCGCTAGGCCCCTCTTCCTCTTCCTCGGATCCTGATTCAAACGCACGAGGATCGTACTCTGGGAAGCCATCTTCGCCAACCCTGAGGTCTGGTGTCACATTTGGACGACCTGCGGGGCCAGCAGAGCAAACAAAGCGCATCCCTAAGGAAAGCGTTCTATGTATAGACCTTTTTCCATTTATTATTGTATGTTCCCATTTCAGCTTGGTATGAAATAGTCGTAGCCGGCAAGCTGCTTCCACACCGCCGCCTGTGGCAGCGTATGTTCTACAGCAAACTCACCGCTTGACCAGTCATTTCGCTTTGGCTCAGCATGCCTCGCAAGCATGTCCTTAAGACTGGTTTTACCCTGACTTTTCTGTCCTTTCGGCGGCATGTTTGGCACTTAGATAAGGATGTATCAGTGTAAGTAGTAACCAGGAAGTAACAGGGAGGCGGCCGCAGAAAGCGGTATAGGAGTCCCTGGCTTGCCACCCTTTTGTCGGCAGGAACACTGTTAAACCTTACGCAAGCAGCATTATCCCTTCAGGTAAAACTTAACGTAAGCACTTACAGTATTCAACGGGTTCTTGCCGCTGCCGTCTCGTAGCGCCGAAACCTTTCGCGGTACGGCGTTCGTTTATCCGATTTGCTGGATCCTAGCTCTAGGTCACCTGGGTGGCAAAGCATTCCCTCTATCGGCCCTAGCTCCTGGCTTCTTCATGGCGCCTTAGCCATTTCCCCCTTCGGGGTCAGCACTAGGCACTAGCCCTTGCATGTGAGATGTGACACAAAAGCAAGTGAGTGGGGCTTGGAGCCCAAGAGCACTATGCCGGGGTATCCCATGAGCTCTTGCAATGATGGTGGTAGCAGAAAAAAGGCAACGTCTTGTGGAGTCTAACCGTCATGCACAGCGGGTTTGTACCCATATGTAGGCTGTAGGAGCGAGGGCGCCCAATGGTCTTACGTGTGGTTACGGTGCCTTTGCATCAGAGCCTGTGCTGCCATGCCTGAACTAGCCAATTCGTATCGGCAGGGTCCTGTTAACGAGGTCTTGACTGCTACAATACCGCATATGTGTCGGGGTAACCGTTACCTTACTATTCAGATCTGCTGAGCTTTGACGACACGGCACGTGCACTTTCGGAGTTACGGAAGCGTCTGGAGCCGTGTCTAGAGCCATGTGTCCCACAAAGACGCCTCTCTGGCCTTCAACACCCGCATCACGGTGACTCTGCAACCCATACCAGCATCACACCCATCACCATCACATGGGCTGCAGCTGCAGAGCCGCGGCCCGCTGAGTCCCACCAGGGGTGTTACCATGCACTCCAGCCTCGGGCTGCCATGCCACACGCCACCAGCTCCTCCGCTCCCTCGTCCTCACCTCCCTCCAGCACTCCTCTCCCAACCGGCCGCCCAAGCCCCCCCACGCACACGCCAGTTTTCTTAACACACACGCCAATCACAGTACGTTCCGACCCGCGGCCAGCTTCACTTAACACACGCCTCCCCACTCTCCCGCCCCTGCCCCTCACTCCCCAGCGACTCCCCCCTTCCCAATCACTATCCATTCAACACTCTCATTCACTCACTCCTTCTCTCCTCCCTCCCTCCATTCATCCATCCATACTTCCATACTTCATCCATGCTTCCCTCCTATGCTTCCATGCACACCTCCTTTCCGCTCACTCGTCCGGCAGCATGGTGCTGCTGCTGCCCACCAGCTCCGGGGGCAGTGCGGACGCCACCGCCGCCCGCGCCGCCTCGCACAGCTCGTCCGCGTCCCGGCTGCCGCCGCCCGGGGTGGTGGTGGGCAGCGGCGGGTGCACCACGATGCGCACCCCGCGAGCACCCGGGCCGTAGCGCAGCTGGGACTCCTTGCCGGAGGGCATGAGGGCGCCTGCGGGGGCAGGGGGAGGAAAGAGGAGTACCAATTGTGTTGAATGAGAATGGCAAACAAAACGACAAGCTCCTGGTGCGGGGTGGGGGGGAGGGAGATGGCAACCGGGCGGGTAAGACATGCAGCTGGGGTGACGGGGGTCGGACGTTGGGCCTGCCCCGAAAGGCCCCCGTATTGGTGCTTGGTTGAGGGCTAAGCCGCTGTTGGGTTAGGCACCATCAACCCTAACGCCTGTCAGCACGCCCTCCGCGGCAGCCAGTCACTGCCGCCTCGTCCCCCCACTTCCCCCTACATCCCCGAATGTACGCCCCACACTCCCACCTGTGCCAATGAGCGTCACCGGCACCACGTCCACCCCCGCCTTCACAGCCACACTGAAGGCGCCCTTCTTGAAACCCGCCAGCTTGCAGTCCAGGCTGCGGGTGCCTGCGTGGGGGGTATAGGTGTGGGGTGCGTGGTGGCGGTGGTGGCGGTACTGGTGGGCTTCGCTTGTGTAAGGATTTGGCGCAGCGTGCATGTTGCATGCGGGCTAGGCACGGCAGGCGCGCCCTCTTCCCCCTGCCACCCCTCCTGCCTCGCAGACTTCTCCCCCACCCTCCCCCCGCCGCCCCTCCTGCCCCACCCTCCGGGAAGAACAGCACGGGTGCCCCCTGCGCCAGCAGGTCGCGGCACTGCTGCAGGCACTTGAGCTGCGAGCGCCGGTCCACACGGTTGATCATCACGTGGCCTGGGAGGAGGAGGTGGAGGGGGGAGGAAAAAGGAGGGGGAAGCGATAAGTGCAAATTTGAAAAGGGTGATTGAGATGTTAAGAAGGGGCGCAGGGGCGGGCGTGTGCGTTTTGTGGTGGTACGAGGGCGTGTATAAGCCCGTGAAGGTGGACGGTGCACTAGGAGGCTCCGGGCAGGAGAGTGAGGCATGTCGATGACCCATGGGTCATGCCACCAAAGCGGACAGACACTCGGTTGCTTTACCGAACTGCCGCCAGCCCCCCGCCAACAACCACAGCAAAAGCCTACCTGTGAGGAACATGCTCCAGCCAATGATTGGGATCATGAAGTTGCTTGTTTTGGAAATGAACTTGAAGGGTCGTTGCAGGTGGAAGAGAGAGTAGATGTCCTGTATGTGTGCCCCGGCAAGCAAGAATCGAACAGCAGGCAACAGTAGGTACGACATGGGTCAGTCAAGCATGAAAAGGGGAACACCGCAACCAGGCGCTAACGCAACATGGGGTTTCTTTTGCTTTTCCCATGCCCCAGGACAAAAGCCCGTACAGCCCAGGCCCCCAGCTTCGTCATACAGCTCGTCAGGCTCTTCACTTTCACCCAACCCAGTCCTTCCCCCGCCCCCACCAGGAAGCTCTGGTGGTTGGCCACGTACACCACCGGCCTGTCGGGGGGTGGCAGGTTCTCACGACCCTCGATCTGCGCAGGGGAAACGCGAGGAGGTCGGGCAAAGCAAACCATTAAAAGGGGTGAAATAAGAAATTCCAAAGTGTGGTATGATAATGATACAAGTTGCTGACAATCCCTGGTGGAATCAACCGTGAGTCAAGGGGTGAAGGGAGGTATCACTCGAGGAGGTCGGGCAAAGCAAACCATTAAAAGGGGTGAAGGGAGGTATCACTATCACCCCTCCGGGGTCTAGCAGTACATTATAATGCACGGCATGCGTGCCTCCGCTTCTGCCATGTAAAGAGACAAAAAGGAAAACGCATGGAGCGAAGGCAGCAACTGCACTACACCAGTAGTGTCTACCACGGCTAGCTGCAGCCCAGGTGTCTTGTCAACCCTGACGTACGCGCGCCCGTACGCACGGTACGGCTCGCGACAGGTCTGCATGCAGCGCCGGGGATTCCCACGGCAAGAGATGCCGCAGGATGCCAGGCTACCGCTACCGGTGCTCACCTAACGTCACAGCCGTGTTCCTGGCTGTGCTGCCTGGCCCTACCTGGACCTGATGCTGCTGCTGTGTTGGCCATGCTGCTATGCGCTGCGTACAACGGACCCATGCCCACTCACCGTAACTCTGTAGAAGGGTGCGGTGCTGACGCAGGCCCAGATGTTGTTCACAAAGTGCTGTGCTAACCGCCTGAGGAGGCGGAGGGGCGGCGGAGAGGGGAGGCGGGAGGGGAGGGGTCCATGGATGGGGTGGATGAAGGATTGGCGATGTGACGGGGCTAGGATGCGTCACCAGCCCCTGCGATAGTTCCAGGGCCCTAGATCTATCGATAATTGTAGAATCCGCACAACCACAAGGACGAACAGGCAGGGTGCCTAGGCTGCGGGCATGCCGCGAAAACGAGGCCCCACGACACACTCCATGCCGCACCTGTACTTGTCAAACGCAAGCACGAAAGGCGACATGACGACCATGGTCATGAACAGAGGCAGTGATAGCATAAAGCTCCATGCAAAGAATGCGATCGCACGAATCTTTGACAGCAGCACGTTGGGCTCTGGTGTGGCATCTGCAAGCGCATCGCAATTGACATCGCTTGCTTCCTTTTGAAACATCTCTATGCATAGACATATTACTTCCTAGCGCTCAAACCTGAATCGCTCAGAGGAATGCTAGCTGTTGCTGATTGGCAAGGCTCGATTGGCCTGGGGCCCGGCTCAGCGGTCGCCCCAGCGAAGCTCCGGCGCTCCGAGAGAAGAGAAGCAGGCCCCCTTAGACGCTGCGCTGTGATCACTGATGGCCTAACGAAGGCTGCTTGCCGCTCAGGCTTGCACGCCACGCCCAAGCGCCGCTGCAGCATAACGCTCGCGCTCATCTTCACTAAAGATCGAGCACCGAACCAACGAAGTCTATTATTCTATGTGTCGTTCAGCAATGCCTCAATATTATAAAGCAATATCTGTAGTTTCAGGGCACTTCAAAATGTTTGGCTTGCAGAGGCACGGTGCGCCTTATCTCCAACCCAAATGCCTGGCAGGAGTCAGAGTAGGCTTGTAAGTATGTAACGTTTTATCAAATTTACTTTTGAGCGCCTAACTCACATCTCACTTACGGCCTTGTACGGCATGTACTGGCATCCGTGCCAGGTCCAGAGCGACATTACAGCTGCTCGTGGCCACCGCGCAGACCAGCAATATGCGCTACAGCGACAGGAAGGGCTGCTCTGTAGTGATCAAGAGGAAACGCATGGACCCAACGTTGCAACACCCCGTGCTTACTCCGGTCATAGCAGTGAACGTTCAGCTTACGCCAGCAATAACCACCAACCATCGACAGCCCCTCCCCGTCGGCTCACTGCTTTTCGCATCAAGCCATCAGGCCATGTCATGGGCATGGAAGAGAGAGTCCACGTTGACATCAAACACGCATCAATTCCGCGCACTTCCCAGTTCCCACCTACTCGCCCCGCCCGACCCCAAAGCTGCGGCCCCCTTCAGCCCCGCCTGATCACCCCGAGAGCGCCTTCACCTCCGCCCGGTCTCCCACTGCATCCCACGCGCGCATGTGTCAACACGGCACCGATCCCTGCACCGATCAGCAACCCCCACCCACCAGGGGCACCGCTCTCCCACTGCTCTCTGGTTGCGGCCATGCCATGTAAGACGTACGAACGGCCCAACCCGCAACCCGCAACCCGTAAGATCCCCCCAAACCATCACCTCCATCGCCGCCGCACACCGATCGCCATAGCCGATCGCAATAGCCAACCATTAACACAACTTACACATCGTGTGCTCATTTCTTCTCCTACAGATATTCAGTTTACTTCAGTTCTGCCAATTTCTTCGCATGTACCGGGCCTTCACCTGACGTCCACCCAGACGCGCTCCATCGCATGGCGGGACGGCGGCGCTTGATAGCACACCGGGATACCGCCAGCACCAACCACCACAATCCACAACAACGGCAGTCCGTACTGGCCGTATGACAGCAGGATAATAACAACAGCATTACCGGCAACGACGACGGGAAAGACGACCGCTGCAGCTCGTCTCCCTCTCGCTAACTCCTAGCTCGCCCGCCCCCTCCTAGCTCGCTCCTACACCCCCCGCCCTACGCCGCGGGCGCCGCCCCCTCCTTCCCCTTTGCCTGCTTGTGCTGCTCCTTGCCTTCCTTGCCGCCCTTCGCGCCTCCAGCCTCCTTCGCCCCGGCCTCCTTCGCGCCCGAGCCCTCCTTGGGCTGCTTGGGCGGCGGCGCGGGCCTCACCAGCACCACCCAGCTGCTCTTCACCAGCTGCCGCGGCTTGCTGGCCTGCCCCTTGCCCGCCAGCCGAGCCAACACGGAGTCGGAGAGCGCCGCAGCCGCCTGCTGCTGATCCTCGCCCTTGTACTCGACCACCAGCTGGATCCTGCGGGAGCAGGTGGGGTGGGGGATGGAGCGGGAAAGCCGTTAGGAGGATGCCGTTAGGGAGGAGGGGGAAAGCCGTTAGGTGGATGTGAGGGGAGAGGGGGTCAGAGGGGCAGGGGGTGGTTGGGGATGGAGGGCAGGGCGTGGATACGTGATGAGCTAATGTTCCACGAAGCATGCAAGGCTGGACATGGGAGGCTGGACCGGTAGGTTGCTGGAGGTGATGGGGCGAGCGAGCAGGAGGCAGTTTAGGCGGTTGGGGATTGGATTGGGGCAGGGGGTGTGGTGGGCGGCGGGTGGCGAATTCTGCCTGTGTCCTCATTTCTCCCTCCCCACCTGTGTCCCTCCGCCAGCCAGCCCTCCGCCTTGCGCAGCTTGGTGGCCAGGTCGTGCTCCGCGATGCGTGGCTTGAGGTGCAGCTCCTTCTCCTTGGGAGCTGCGTGCTTGGCGGCCTCCTTGTCCTTCTCCTTGTGGGCCTCCCGCTCCTTGGGGACCGGGGTGGCGGGGGCGCTGGGGGCTGCGGCTTGTGGCGGTGAAGCAGTGGGGGCAGCGGAAGTGGGAGTGGGAGGGGCAGATGAGGAGGGCGGCGTGTCGGTGTGGCGTTGGGCGCGCGTCATGTAGCGTAGGGAGATGTAGGAGTGTGGCAGGAAAGAGGAGGAGGAGGAAATGGCGGGGGTGGAAGGGGCGGAGAAGGTGCGTGGTGACGAAGCCGAAGTGGAAGCGAGGAGAGGCAGGGGTTGGGAGGACAGGAGGCGGGCGAGCGCGGGTAGAGAGCTGCATGGGCTGGGGTTGGGATGAGGAGCAAGGTTGCTGTTGGCGTCTGCCGGGATGGAGAGGCTTGCGTGGACGACGTTCGCAGCGTGTGCTGTGCAGGTGGTTGGGTTCACGGTGAAGCTTGCAAGTTGCTGGACAGCAGCCAGCAGTCCAAGTGCTGGACGCATTTTTAAGGTCTGTTGGAGCGGCATCGCCCTAGCCTAAATATTTACAATTTGCTTCCTAGTGAGGACCGGGATGCAACAAAGATACAAGGTGCGGAGGGCTTTGGCGTAGATGAAACTATTGGAACGAAGTCCAGCGTTAGGATGAGAACGCATCGGTCTTCATGGGAATGGTTTCGAAGCAGTATCCTCGTATGGTACGAACTTGCGACCACGGTAACCCGTGCCTGTTGAACGTGGTCAACAGTTCGCCTTCCTGACTATTGAAAAGATCTAATGACTTTAGCATGTATCTGCTTCAAAAGGACATTTGTCCTTTTTCCGATATTGTTCGTGCGCACATTTGCAGGATATCAAAGTGTATAGATAACACTACATAGTTTGTATAGACTACTTGGAATATCTTCAATTTCAATGACCTGTCCGTTCCCTGGCAATGCGCTGCTACAACACGCGCGCTGCGACGAACCAAGTTGGCAGCAACCTTATGAGACCATCATGTGTAAAATCATGGATTTTGCTGCTGTCTATCACGCTGGGCATGGCGTTTACCGACGACAGCGATGCTCTGCAAGCCTGCGGCCGGGCCTTGGCATACGCAGCGTATGAAAGGTACCAAAGTCATGCGCGTTCCCATTCTGCATGGCTTGCAATCGGGGCAGTCGTTTCCTCACTTTGTGGCTTTGCAAACAAACCCACGTCGGTTGTCATGTTGTGCAGTTCTGGCCCTCCAGCAACTACATGGCAGTCATTCGCTCCTAAGGTTTCTAAGGGCCTGTATCAGTGCCACGTCATATTGGATAACTCGGTGGGTTAAGACCTTGCTCGCTCCTAAACCTCGTCCACGTGCATCAGCAACGCAGACTGTGCGCCGTTGACTATGTGGCGTTTGCATCTAACCTCTGTAGAAATGCTAAGGGCTGACAGGCGTGTCTTGAAATGAGCTCTGCGTTTTTAAACTGTGCCGATAATCTCGGTCCCTTTCCCGCACTCACGCGTTACACCTTGGCATGTCAGCCAGCGCATAGCTAGAGGTGCATCCAACCTTCCTCCATGTCGCCCATCGGGCTTCTTATCCATCCTCGCTCCTTCCCACCTTGGGCCCTCGCCTTTCGTTGCCCCGCTCCCATCCTCTCGTCCCTTTCCCGCCAATTCCGCTTCCTGCTCCCTTTGCCCCCTTTCACCTTCCCTCAACCCTAGACAACCTCCGAATCCTCCACAGCGCTCCGGGTACTGGTACCTGACATCTACGCTGCCTGGCTGCAGCCCTCATTAGAACGCTTTGCCGTGCTATACGGTGTGGAACTGGTTGTGGACATCCGCCCCACCTCGCAGCTACCCCTTCTGGTGCGTGAAGCGGCAGCAAAAGCAGCAACCCAGGCCTCTGGCTCAGGACAGCCCGATAGCAGCAGCAGGAGGAGGAGTGCCAAGGCGGACGGCGCGTTACCCGGACAGCAGCAACCGTTGACGAGCCCAGGAGCCCCCACAACCTCCCAACTAGACGGCGGCGGTCATGGAAGTAATGTGGATGGTTTCGAGGCGGTGCAACGGGATCGCCAGTATGGCGCCTTACAGGACAGAGACCGGGGCCAGGAGCGGCAGGCGAGGAAGCGGCGGGAGCAGCAGCAGCAGCAGCCAGCAGCAGCGGCGGTATCACAGCCTCCTCTCATCCCACATGGGCTTCAAAACCTGCATTCCTCCCGTCAATTGAAGAGCCAGGAGGTCGATGAGCTGGGCCAGGATAAGTCACTGCTGCAGCAGCTAGGTCAGGCATCTGATGTGGGTCAGGGACAGGACGTCCAGACCTCAACTGCTCAGCAAGCCGATTCAGCAGCATATGCGGGCATGACAGCCGCCGTCGCAGCAGCAGCTGCTGCTTCTGCCACTGACGCATTGGATGCCGCCGTCACCGCCGCTACAGCAGCAGCGGCCGGATCAGGAGGGACAGGAGTGTCGTACGATGTTTGGTTGCACACGGGCGACCTGACACCCGAGCTGGCGGAGGCGGGGCAGCTGGCGGACCTGGGGTGAGTGGGCGGCTGGCTGGCTGGCTGGGAGGGAGGGAAGGCGTGCAGAGGTAGTATCGAAACATGAGGGGGCGGGAGCGGGTGGGTATGGGTGGGCGGAAGGAAGGTAAGGGACAGCGATGCCAGCAGCTGCCCGGTGCTTGAGAGCCATGTTGGGGTGGATGCTGGGTGGGGTCTTTCCTGACAGTGGGTAGGGTACCGGTATTGTGACTTAGCCGTGCTGAGCAGTTGCGATAATCGCAAGTTAGTGGGTTGGCGGGATGGGCAGTGAGCTCTGTAGGAGAGAGAGTGGATCTGGGGCGGCCGGCGGATCCCGGGTGTGGGGCAGGCGGGCGGATTGTTGGCTGGATGGCTGGCTGGGTTACCTTTTCCACCGGGGCGCTGGACGGGGTGGTAAAGGATGAGGGGGCAAGCCATCTTGCGGGCGGCTGGAGACTGCCCTTTGTGACCGGGCACACGTGCACCACCCTCCTCTTTCCTCTCACTCCCACCGGCGCTGCTCCCCCCTTCCGTCCTTCCCTCGTTTGCTACCAGGTATATGTTGGAGGCAATGGACCCACGGGTCGCCTGGCAGGTAGGAGTGGGCTGTGTGTACACCGGGCTGGTGGGGGGGGGGCGCCGGTGGGCGGTATGTGGGCGTGAAGTGAGGGCACATGCGGCAGGCGTCAAGGGAAGTGGTGGGGCCCTTTTGGCAGCGTGGTAGGGCGGTAATGCGGCGTCGTGACCCTCGTGAGCTTGCTATGAGTTTTATGCCGGGTGAGACCCCTGTAGTGGAGAAGCTAGGAAGGTTAGGTAGCAATGCACCCGGGGCCCTCTTCCGGGTTTGTTGGAGGGCAGAGCCACTTGTTGGTGCGCCATCTCAACATGCGCTTGTCGACCAACACAGTTCCTTTCTCCTAACGCGCTGCTGCTGCCACGGCTGCCGTGCACAGGAAGTGCCGTTACCGTTACGGCAGCAGTTGGCGACGTACGGCAGATCTACGGTTGCCGTACCGCTAGACGGTACGACACTGCTGACTATGTACCGCAGGGACGTGCTGGAGCGCTTGGGTTTGGCGGTGAGGGGGGGGGGCGGGGTACTCCGTCTCCTTGGGGGTCCCTTGGCACTCACCTCTCTGTTGCTGTTGCTGGAGATCCCCCGGCTCCAAGCTGCTGAGGACAGCCGGTTAGGGTGTCTTGGATTGCGAATCTTTGACGCCTAGAGCTGTGTGCATGCGTGCGTGGGTGTGCTCGCAGGTTCCCTCCACATGGCGAGAGCTACTGGCGTTTCTCCCCGCATACAGCCTGGCAAGGCAGCAGCAGCAACCAAATGGGACGGCTGGGGTAGGAGGGGCCAATGGGACAGCGGCAGCAGGCGCAGCAGCAGACGACCCGCCCTACGCTCTGTGTGTGCCTCGGGGCGCAACAGGTGGGGGTGGGGGGTAACTCGGAGCGGGCTGTTATTGAGAGTGTTGAGGTGGGGGTGGGGGGGATGATGATGATGGGGGTGGTGGGAAGCTGCCGCCGGTAGGCTATCCCACGCCGATCTCCCTAGCACTCACGTTCCTCAGCAACTGCCACCCCCTTTCCTTTTCCCCGTTCTTCCCCGCCCTTTCAGCCTGCTCCCAGCTGCCGTACCTCCAAGCCATCTGGTCGTCCATCGCACAGACCCATGGGTCACAGCAGGGCATCCACTTCGCCTACTATTACGCCAATTCCACCGCCTCCAATGCCACCTCCACCTCCGCACCCACCACCTCCCAGCCCCTTGCCCGTCTACGCCCGCTTCTGGATTCCCCGGCTACCCGAGAGGCGCTGCTGCTGCTGACCCGCCTGCGGGACGCAGCGGCACCGCCCGAGGCGGATGAGGAGGCGGCGGCTGAGCAGCAGGAGCACCAGGGAAGCGGCGGCGCCGGGGTTGCTGCTGCCGGTGGTTGTGTGTACGGCAGCTGGGGCTTTGCGAGGGGGCGGTGTGCGCTGGTGCTGGGGGCGAGCTTCGTCGCGCAGATGAGGGTGAGTTGGGGGTCAGATTGAAACCAAAGCAAAATCGGTATCGGTAGGTAGAATGAGTTGGGGTTTAAGGGTGGTAAGGTTGGAGACGTGAGGATGGGATGTGAGGAACAATCGAGCCATGCGGGGAGCTGGGTACCGGTACTTCCCGCGTAATAAGTAGAATGGCTGAAAGCACGTTCTTCCCCAAAATCACTCTCTTGACTTCCCTCCACCGGACCGTTCATTCGCAGCTCCTGGGTGACCCACGGGTCAATGCCAGCGTACCAGCCAGCAGTGTCGCCGTGGCGCCCCTACCTGGCTCCCATTTGGTGTGGACGCGAGGGGACGTTGCCAGCAACAGCACCGGTAGCAGTAGCAGCAACAGTAGCAGCAGCGGCGCCACGGAGTTGCAGTCGTGTACGGAGCTGCTGTGTCCCTTTGCAACACAGGTTAGGGTGGCGGTGCAGGAGGAGGAGGAGGGGGCGGAGGGGCAAGACAAGGAGACGGCAGCTAACGGTGCTATTGCTGTAGCAAGTTTCGCTACCTCTGATACATCTCAGCAGCAGCAGCAGCAGCTGCTGCACATGTGGGTCAACTACGCGCCTCAGCTACCTCCCTCACTGTTGGTGGGGTCGGTTAACAGAAGGTACGGGGCGCTTAGGTGAAGGGAGGTGGTGGAGAGGAAAGGAGGGCGCGAAGGGGGGAGGGTGCGGTGTTGAAGAGGAGGAAGAGGAGGAGGAGGACCGGGCGGCTGTACAGGAATTGCATGGCGTGTTCTATCTTGGCGTGTGCTTTCGGCCGACGCAAACGTTGTTGATGCTGCCGCGACTGTCAGGAGCCACTGGGGTGTAACGCGCTACGTTGCTGCTGCTGCTGGGGGTTATGATGTCCTCCTGATGCGGATGTCTGTCACCCCACCACCCCAATCGCCATCACCACCTGTCCTCCTCCGGCCTGCCCCCCGTCTGCCTTTCCCCTCCTTCCCCTCCCTTCTCCCCTCACAGTGCCTCGGTGCTCGTCCAACTCCTGTCGTACCAACTTGTCGCCTACCTCGCCTCACCCGAGCGCTTCCACGACAACGATACCAGCACCCCCAGCGGTGCTACTACTACTGCTGTTACTGCCACCCCTGCCACCAACAGCAGTAGCGACCCCACACCTCCGGCATCAGCATCCCCTCCGTACTTAACGCCAGCATCATCATCCGTACTGCCTCCGCCGGTGTCTCCACTTGTCAGTGTGGAGCCCGTACGTTTGTCGTACCTGGGTGTACGACAGTCCGCCTCCTCCTCCGCCTCCTCCGTGTTGGATGCATGGACGCGTGCGGGTTACGACGCGGGTGCGGTGGCGGGGGCGCTGCCGGTGCTGGCGGCCGGTCGCATGCACCCCAATGCGGGCATGGGCTGCCTGCGGATGGCGGGAGCGGAGTTCTACAAGTGAGAAGGGGGGCCTGGATGGCTCTTGCTGTGCTTTTGCGATAGGTAGCGGAGCTAATAAATCTTGAAACCACCCAAATTGCACTAGCTGAACAACGTATCCTGCTTGGCTCGCGGTACGGAGCTTTGAAGCTTTACACCGGGCGGACACCGGGCTCCCAGTCCTTGTGTCAAGTCGTCCCAAGCCTCCCTCTCAACCCTCTCCAACACCCCCTCTCTCCCTCCCCACACCAACCTCCTCCCAACCTCAACCCCACAGCTCCCTGCTAGAGGACCTCATTCGGGGCCTGCGGGCGGGTGACATCCTTGCAACCGACCCGCTCGCCTCAGAGCAACCCCTGCTACTGACCGCCACAGCGGGGTCGTCGACGGCTGCGACGGCGACAGCGGCAGCAACGACGGCTGCTACCTCCACACACAGGAGGCGGAGAAGAGGACTTGGCGCAGCGGATGGAGCGCCGCCGTCGCCCCTCACGACGGCAGCGGCGGAGGTGGAGGCGGGGGCGGCATCGCCACCGCCGCAGGTACAGCAGCAGCAGGAGCAGGTGCAGAGGACTCTAGCGGAGGCCATGGCTGCGGTGCAGGCTGCTGCGGAGGTGTACTATGATTCCCAGGTAGCTCAGGGGCAGGTTGGTTGGCTGGTTGGTTGGTTTTGGTTGGTTGGTTGGTCGGTTTTCTTGGATACACGAGGTTAAAGCCCTTCCCACCGCATTTGCGCCCTTCTCCCTTTCAAGTATATAGCGTCATTGTACTACGCTCTGCATCACTTTGTGTCGCGCTCCATCTGACGTTCCCCCGGGTCGCACGGTATCGTGGGTATGTCCCCCCTCAGGTCTACCTGGACCGCTACCTGGCCTCCCTGGCGATATCGCCCTACTCCCCGCTGTCGCCGTACTACGTGGAGAGGGCGGCGCTGACACAATCAAACGGTGGGTCATGAGCTAATAGGATAACCCGTGCATGCCAGTCTCGCCGTGGATGCAATTTATATGTCGTGAACGAGCACCAGCTCGAACACCTGGTTCCGCGTTCTCCTCTCCGTCCATCCGACCTTAAACGCCCCTCCTCCCCTACCTCTCCGTCGGTCGCCCAATCGCAGCGTCCTCAACCCCCTCCACCGGCTCCTCCTCCTCCCATCACACCGCCCCACCCCGCGTCATCACGGCAGCTGTCATCGTCTCCCTGGTGGGCTGTACGGCATTTCTAGCCTGCGGTGTGTCCGCGGCGCTCGTCTCCCCCAACCGGCGCCGCCACCTGCGCCGCCTGCTGCTGCGTCGGCTGAGCCCCTGCCTGCCATCTGCATGCGGCTCCTCCCGGCCTCGGATTCGCTTCGAATTGGGTGTGACGGGTGGTGGAAGTGGAGGTGGGGGTGGTGGCAGGAAGCAGCGGCGGAGGCTGAGTCACAGCCTGCGACCTGCGCCCTCGGGGTTCAGCGTGTCGGGACATCCGCAGGTGCGCTGTCGGGGGGGGGGGCACAGTGCTTGCGGGGTGGGCTACCTGTGGGTGTTTGTTGCGGTGCCAGCCTTTCAAGACACTGTCCACTCGCGGCCAGGCTTCTCAACACACCTCCCACATACCGACCAGGCTTACGACCCCCCCCTGCTGCTGCTCCCGGCAGGTGAAGGCTCCTGAGGTGTCCTCCGAAACCGCAATCCTGGTCACCGACATACAGGTGGGGTCCGGGTACGGGTTGTATGGGGTAAGAGGCCGATCGTTGGGAGGCGGCGGAGGCGGACCCTACCAGCCTCGTCCTCGCTGCCCCGCGTTTCTTTCACTACCTGTCACTTTCTGGCACCCAACCCTCCACTCCACTCCACGCCTACCACCACCGCGATCCATCAACCTGCGGCTCAATCAATATGAGGCGCCACCACCACGTCCCCATTGCAATTCGGGTGCTTCACGTCCCCTTCCTTCTGCTTACCCTCCGCTCCCACCGCCTGCCTGCCTGCCTGCCTGCCCCCCACCCCCAGAGCTCCACCCAGCTCTGGGAGACGCTGGCTTCTGACGTCATGAGCGCCGCCGTACAGCTGCACCACGTGTGCATCCGTCGGCTGCTGGTGGAGCATTGCGGGTACGAGTCGGCCACGGAGGTGAGTGCCGGAGGGGGGAATGGCCCGTGGGTCACTTGGGGCCTGCATGGGATCTGACATGGACTGGAATGGCCTGGATGTTGTGGGGTTGAAAGCCACACGGAACGAATAGATAGATGCACACAGCACATGGTTTATGAACTTGTGATGCTTGTTAGCGGTTGGATTGGGGGTGCACAGTTGGGTTGCAACCCTCTACCTTTATGCGGTTTTCTTGCCTTGCCTCCATTCCTCCTGCGTTCCTTTCTCAATCCCTTCCTCCCTTCCTGCCCCCCCGGCCCCCTTCTGCCCGTCTTCCCTTCCTGCCAGGGCGACTCTTTCATCCTGGCCTTCCGCACCGTCAAGCAGGCTGTGGCGTTTGCCATGGACCTGCAGGTGAGGCTTTGGGGAGCAGATGTAAGCTGGGGGATAGCCTGTGCATGAGGACGGGTATTACTGGGGCCCTGTGGCTGCTGAGGGGACGGAGGAGTACATGGGCGTATGGGCTGCTGTTACGGAGGGGTGCCGAGCGTTTTTATCTCTATCTCCCTCTCTTGTCACTCGCTGTTCCCCGGTGGCGACCTTGGCCCAAGCTCACTCACGTGCGCCAGGCAGATGCCGTCTGGCAGCACCCTCACACGCCCAACGTGGTCGCCTTCAATCCTGCTTTCCCCTCCCCCCCCACCAGGCCCAGCTGCTGGTGCTGCCCTGGCCCCAGGAGCTGCTGGAGGAGGAGGTGGGGCGGGGTGGGGTGGGGTGGGGAAGGGATAGGGATGGAGGGAGATGGAGAAGGAGAGTGGGATGGGTGACATGGGATGACAGGCGGGAGGGAGGAGGGGGCGTGTTGCGACGCGCGTGCCGAGGAAACCATGAGCTGGGCGTAGTAGCTGTGCTGGTAGGCAGGCACATGCTTGAACGTCGGCTGCCACGGAAAGGCACTGGCCTTCCCTGCCCTGCTTTGCCCTACCTAGCCGTACCCTGCCCCCTACCCAGACCTGCCACCCCGGTCTCCCACTCTCGCCACCCGCACACCCGCACCGGCCTCCCGCACACCCGCCCCACCCGTCCCCACGCCCCACCCCACACACCCCACCCGCACCCCGCACAGGTGTGCCTGCCGGTCTACACGGAGCTGCCTGAGGGCTTCCCATTCATCCACAACCACCACCCAGAGGAGGATGACAAACCCACGTGCGCTGCCGCCGCCAACGCAGCCGCCGCGGCGGCGGCGGCAACCGCCGCTGCCACGCGCTTCAGCCCTTTCCTGGCCGTGAACGGCAGCCAGATCTGCCCCGCAGCTCTGGAAGCCAACTCGCCCTTGCTCCCGGTGGCAGCAGCGGCGGCGGCGGCCGCGACGGCGGCTGTACGGCCGCCGCAGCGACAGCCCACGTCGTTCACTCTGCCGACACCAACGCCGACGCCGACGGCGGCGCTGACGTCACCTTGCACGGGCCGCTGCGGCTCCTTCGTGCCCATGCGCACCGGGAGTGTTTTCTTTGCTGCACCTCCATCGCCCCAAAACGACGAAGCAGCACAGAATGCCTTTCTAGCCGCGCAGCTGCTGGGGTTGGGGCCCGACGTGTCTGATAGAGGATCCTCCGCGACTGGGCTACCAGCGCAACAACAACCGGCGCCGTCGCAGCAGCAGCTGCTTCTAGGGTTTGGACCGTCAACGGCGGCTTCAACAGTTCCCGGTCAGCAGCAGCAGCTTGAGGCTTTACAAGGCGGGCCTTCAGAAGCCGCGGACATGCTGTCATGCGGCGGTGGCGGTGGCGGAGGCGGCGTTTGCGGCGGAAGCAGAGGCGGAGAAGTGGTGTCAGCGGTGCAGGAGGAGGTCGATGCAGTGCTGTCGCCGTGTGAGGAGCCGTCCTCGCATCGTGATACCTGTTCGAATGCGACGGGTACTGTCCTGAGCCTTCGGGCCTCGCCGTACCTTTGGCAAGAAAGCGGTGGCGCCGACGGCAGCGGCCATGGCGCCAGTGGCGGCGGCAGCGGCGGCGGCAACGCCATAATGGGCGGCGCGGTGCCGGCGGCGGCGGCGCCGTCAGCCCTGGCGGCGCTGACGAGAGCGGCGGCACGGATTGTCCGTACGGCGGCGGCAGCGGCGGCGCCGGGTGGACGGAAGCCACACGGCGGGCTGCTGGTTCGTCGATCCATGCCGTTGCTGGGCCGGATGTCGAACCCGCTGCTTCGGACCTCCTTACCAGCACCGCCGGCGGCGGCGGCGGGTGGGACGTCCAACGGCATGGCGGCGCTGCCGTGGGGGTTCACGCTGCCGATAGGGCGGCTGTCAATGGCGGGGGCGTTTCCAGGTCTGGGAGCCTTCCATGGCGGGCGGGCCCACGTGGATCGCCGCTTGAGTGCATGTTTGGATCCTGGCTTCCAAGGACACTTGGCGCGGATGCCCACGGACGGCGACACAAGCGCTGGCGTCGGCATAAGTGAGGATGATGATACTGGCGGCGGCGCAGCCGCCGCCGCCGCGGCGGCGGCCGCCGCGCATCCCTCGTCTCCAGGCACCTCCGCCAGCTTCGCCGCGATGGTGCATGCCTTCCGCTCCCGCCGCATGTCTCAAGGCGCGCCACGTCGTAACGAGTACGCTCTGTCGCCTCGCCCGTCGCCCGACCACGCTCGGCACAACCCCGGCTCGCTGTTCGCCGCTGCAGGCACGTCCCAGGGCGGCATGTCCATCTCCGAAGGCGGTTACGGCGGCGGCGGCGTCGCCGGCTGCAGCGGTAACTGCGCGGACCCTTCCTCGACGCTGCTGCCGCCGCCGCTGGCGGCGCCGCCACCTCCAGGCAAGACGCTGGGCCAGATTCTGTCGGAGCTGAATGAAAGGAACAACAGCCCAGCGGCGTCAGCCGGAGGGGCTCCCGGCGGCAGTGCTGCCGGCGGCGGCGGAGGAGGAACTTCAGGAGGCGGCAGCGGCCTTGGCGGCCACCACCACCACCACCACCAGGCCATCCGGGGGAGGCGGCTGCTGATGTTCCGGGGCCTCCGAGTACGTGTGGGCATCCACGCTGGCGTCACAAGCGATGCCGAGATGCAGTACAATTCCGCCTCCGCACGCATTGTGTACGGCGGGCCGTGCGTGGCGGCATGCAAAGCGGTTGCTGACATGGCACATGGCGGCCAGGTTTTCCTGAGCGGGGCGGCGAGGGCGGCTCTGGCGGCGGCGGTGCACCACCATAACGGGGGGCGGCCCGTAGGAACAATGGTGAGCACCGAGTGCGGTGTGGGAGTGGGTTAAGAAAACTGGCCGCGAGTGGGAGTGTACTGGAGTATCGGAAGATGATGTGGGTGTGGGTGTGGCGGGAGTGAGGCAGGGCTGCTGACCGCCGCGTTCGGTAAAAACAAACTGCTGATACGCAGAAAAGGTATAATGCACCATCTGGATACTTCTTCGGTTGGGCGACAGTCTTTATACCGTCAGCGTCGTTCTCGTAGCTCTGTTCAAACCTAACTACTACTACTCGCTCCTGCCGCTCTGTCGTACCCTCGTCGTACTCGTAGATGCTACACATGGGGACGTACGTGCCCGCGGCGCCACCGGCCCCTCCAGCCCACGGGCCTGCATACCTCGCTGCATGCATCGCCGTCTCCGGCGTGGATGCTGCAGCCGATGCTGCGGCGTCCGGGGGGCTCACGTCGCCGCGTCGCGCTGCCTCTCTCGGTCTGGTTGGCGACGGCGAGGCGGCAGCAGCCGGCGACGGCGGCGGCGTCGCCGCCAGCCACGTACCGTCGTTAACGGCTTCCGCCGCCGGCGGCGGCGGCGGCGGCGATCGGCAGTCCATTGACATCGGAGCCCTCCACGCCCACCCGTATTGCCGTCGTACCGCTCGTATGAACGGACATGCAGCAGCGGCGCCGTCGGGTACGGAGCCGCGGCGTGCAGCGGTGGCGGGGGCGCCGCCGCCGCCGCCGCCAGCGGCGGCGGCGACGGAGGTGTATTGGGTCACGAGCCCGGCGCTGTCGCAGCGGTTGGTGCTGCTGCCGCCGCCGCGAGTGCCGAAGGATCTGGTGGTGGCGCAAGATGTGTACGGCGCGCCTGTTGGAAGGGTGTCGTACGTTGTCGTACAGGTGCCCGCTGCGTCGGCGCTATTGGCTTGGGACTTGCAGGAGGCGAGGGCGGCGTTGCGGCTGTTCGAGGACACGGCGGCAGCACTGCTGAGGAGGCTGGGGGGAGGATACATGGTAGGGAGGTGGCGTGGTTCCGTATGTTTGCTTTCTTGCCCCGCTGATGTCGTGATCCTCGCCGCAAGATCCGTTACCTCCCATACCCTCCTAAATCCTTCCTCCCCACCAGTACACCTTTTACATATACAATGCAGTTACCAAAACGCGTCAGCGCATGCCGTGCACACGAGCCGTCCACAATCCTCGCCGCACCTTTTAAGTCCTCGCGCTTCTAACATCCCACCGCTCCAACAGCTCCCTCCTCCCTCCTCCTCCCGCGCGCCCCACCAGTCCTGCCCACACCCCGGCGAGCTCTACGCGGCCTTCACCACCGCTGCTGCGGCGGTGCGCTGGACGGAGGGGCTGCGGAGGCTGCTGCTGGAGGCGCCCTGGTCGCAGGTGAGGGGGGGTCAGAGAATACCAAAACCACAGGTTAGGACGAAGCAATGGGGATAGTGGAAAGCAGGTTTGCCACGGAACACAGGGGGGGGACAGAAGGAAAATGAGACAGGGGTGCTGGTCATACCCGTGGTAATGAATGGTTAGGGGGGCGGGTGACGACGTGATAGTGCAGGTGTGGGTTGGTAGGCAGTGGAGCATAACGGGGGGCGCGCGGAGGCATGCTGGCAGCCACTGTTTTCACTCCCATGTGCTCCCCACCAGGCATACTGCTGCCCCTGCCCCTGTTCCCTCCCCAGGCCCTCCTAGCCAACGAGCTTTGCGAGGTCGTCGAGGTTTCCGACTCCTGCTCCTCCTCCTCTTCATGCTCCTCCTCCTCCTCCTGCTCCTCTAGCGATTTCGAGTCCTGGGAACAAGCGTTGCTGCCCGCTACCGACCGACCTAGCCCCCTCCCGCCAGCGGTGTCTGCCGTATCCGCCGTCTCGGCTGCGGCTGCCGGCGGCGGCGGCGGTGGTGGTGGTGGTGGCGGTGGTGGTGCTACAGGCACCGGGACACAGCAGTTTGCTGCCGTCAGCATCAGCCGTGTTTCGCCCTCCATCTCGCCGTTGTCTTTGTCGCCCTCTCCCTCCGCGTTTTGGCTGCGACATAGGTTGAGCGGCAACAATGCGGCCAGTGGCGGTGGCGGCAGCAGCAGCTGCTGTAAACCTAACAACACCCACGGTAACGGGAACGCTACAACCACCAACAAGGACAACAACGGGGACGATTGCAACAAGGATGGGAGACACCACCACCACCATCAACGCCACCACCACCATCACCACCACCATACCGACCATCATCATCATCATCGCCATCATCATCATCACAAACCTCAGGGAGATCTCCACTGCGAAGCTAACCTCGCTTCACGCCATCACCACAACCACAACCACGCAACCTCCAGCCACGTCCACGCCAGTTCACATGCACCGCCCCATCATGCGCCCAGTAGCCGCTCCCTCAACCTCTCCTTGCAAAGTGCTGTAGCCGGCGCCGCGGGGAACTTGGCTGCGTGGATCGCCGCCCGTCTGAGCCATGGCCACACCCAAAGCAGCAGCGTCGGGGGTGGTAACCATGCCCACAACAACAGCGCCAATGGCTATAACGGCAGGAGTCACAGTCACAGCCATACCGGCATCAGCAGCGGCTTTGGCGGCGGAGGCGGTGGCGGTGGCGGCGGATCTGGCTGTAGCTCCGTTTCCGGTTCCGCACCGGTTTGCTCCGCCGGACCAGGCTTTACCGGTAATACCAACCACAACCTCCATAACCACCACTTTCCAACCGTTGTTGGAGTGTCGTCGTTCAAGCGCTGCAGCCCGCAAATGGCTACCACTTCGACGCAGTCCAGCACCGCCGCCTCCGTCGCCTTGGTCGCCGCCGGCGGCGTCACAGCATCGGCGGCGGCATTGGCTGCCACCACCAGTTGCGGCGGCGGCGGCGGCGTTGCTGGGTGCGCGGGCGCCAGCGGCGGCGGCGACGTCGGCAGCCCCGCAGCCTTCCAACATGTCCCCTCCCGCCTGGGCCTCATGCATGGCGACCGAACCCCACGTGTGCATTCCCATCTAACCGTCGGACCGTTGACGGAGGCCCTCCTGGGCGCAACACCGCACAATACGCCGTCGCTGGCGACGGCCGCGTCGACGGCGTCTGCCGCAGCTGCCGTCGACGGGGCCTCTAGGACGCTGGTAGCCTTGACGACAGCGACGTCGACGTCGACGGAGGTGGCGGCGGCGGCGACGACGGCGACGGTGGCTCCGCCGATGGGCGTAATGCCGTACAACCGCCCGAGCGCCTCTCACAGCCAAGCCGTCATGGTGGAGTTGGAAGACTTGATGGAGGAAGAAAATAAGGACGGCGTCGGAGGGTTGCACGACAATAACCGCTTACGGCAGGCATCGTCATCCATGGCAGCAACATCGCGGCGGCATTCCTTGGACGTGGCGTTTAGCCATCGCGCGCTGCATGGCTTGGGCCGCGGGGAGAGTCTCTGTGACATGTTCCGGCGGGGGTTCAGCCGTGATAGCGGTGTCAATGGCAACGGCAGCGGCAGCGTCGGTGGAGCTAGCGGCGCGAGCGCCCGGACACTGGACTCAGCGCCGCCGCCGTCACTGATCGGCGCAACGGCCATTTCCCCTTCTTACGGCGGCGCCGGCAGACCTCCTTGTTCGGGGCCGCTAGGCATAAGGCTGTCACAGCGTCCTCAAGATGTACCCCGCCCGCCATCACACCACCACCTCCAAGCCTCCCCTCTCCCTCCCCGGCATCAGTTAAGCAGCTCCGCACTCGTGCTAGAGCTGCGTCAAGGCGGCGCCGCCGACAGCGGCGGTTGCAGGGTTTCGGAGCTTGAGGATTTTCTGCCGACGTACGGCAATTCCAACAACGTCAGCATGCCGCCGCCGTACTCCGCCGCCAGCACCCACAGCGGGAATACCCCCATTGCAAGCACCATTGCCGCCGCTGCTGCTGCCGCTGGCGGTGGCAGTGCTGCCGGCTGCAAGGGTGCAGTTGCAAGGAGGGCTAGCGGCGGCGGCGTTGCTGAGGCAGCGGCGGTGTGCTTTCCAACTAACCCTTGGGACCAGATCCTGCCTCAGGGTCTGGCGCCTCGAGGAATTCCCAGCTGCGACGGCGCCGACGGCGGCGGCGACGGCGACGGGTATGGCGGCGCGTACGACTGCAACAGTGGCAGTGCCAACGTTACCGGTGCGGAGGCGGTGCAGGAGTGCGGCGGGGGTGGACGGCTGTTGCTCCTGAGAGGACTCAGGTACGTGCGTGGCGGTGCTGAGAGCGAGGGTTGAGCTGGGGTTCTAGGGTTGCATGCAGGTGTGGGGTTCTGGGATGTGAATGTAGGTGTGGGGTTTTAAGAGCAGCGGCTCGGGTGCCGGTTGGAGGGGGCTCGGTTCTAAACAGGACAGAACAGAAGGGGAGGCGAATGAAGGTAGAAGACTTGCTATGGGAAGTACCGTATCTGTGTAGCTGTGTCCTGTGCCACTCAGGCATGCACATGGCTTTGCTGTTCTAAACTCTCCTTCCTTTCCCGCATCACTCGCAGGATGCGTGCGGGTATCGCCACGGGCCATGTTTCCTGGCGGGCTCAGGACCACACGCACGATGTGGGGTACGGCGGCAAGACCGTTCGTACTGCACTGCGGTTGGCCGGCTACATGGCGACCGTTGGGCAGGTGGTTTGCTGCGAGGTGACGTGTCAGGAGGCGCTGGCGGCGCAGGCGGCGGAGCGTGCGAGTCGCATGCTACAGCGCCTGTGGAACCAGCAGCAGCAGCTGCGGCAGACGCCGACTGAGACACAGATGGACGTACTGGAAAAGGCGCAGCAACAGCAGCAGCAGCAGCAAACACAGCAGCAGCAGTTCGGTCCGGATCAAGGCGCAGGAGGGGAACAGGCGCTGGACCAGGCGGAGCAGAAGAAGGGGGAAGGAGTGGAGGAAGCAGAGGAGGAGCAGGAGCAGTGTCTTTTAAAGTTCTCGCCGGTCACGAATCGAGGCATGCTGCTGACGCCGGGAGCGGCGCGGAGGCGGAAATGCACTGCCTTCGTGTGCAGGTGGGCGTCCATTGGGGCATAGGGGCGTAGAGGTGCATGCGTGTGCAAGCGGGTGCAGTGCAATCTTCGGTGTGTTTTCCTACCCGGCGTGCATGTGTTCGGAATAAATGAGCGCACTTGCTTCCGTGCAGTTGCCATTTCGCCGTTAAGGCGCAGAATGCCCATTGGTTGTTGCCCGTTGCGGAGAGCTGTAATGCGTGGGAGCCAGTGCGGCTCTCACGCATTACTCCTTGTCATTAAGAACTGTATACGTGGTCACGTACCGTTACCGGTATCCTTCAACCCTCCCCCCCCTCCTTTGACCCCTCCTTCGCCCTCGCACAGCTTCCACCATCCTCACCACCACTCCGCCACGCCACGCCCTCTCTCCAAGAAGCCGAGCGAGATTCCCGATGCATGTACGGCAGCAGCAGGTCCGATGCCACTCGAGGGCGGCCATCAGCAGCACCTCCGCCACCCAGGCGGCCCTACCTCGGCGCCATCACACGGCATCTTCGGTGCTCATCGTGACCCCGCTGCTGCTGCTGCTGCTGCTGCTGACAATGCACAATTCCGGCCCTCAAACCGCCGACACCATCGTCAGCACAGCCAATCAGACCAATCTAAACACCCCAGCTTTCAGCGCCAAAGTCGATCCGGCGGCTGCTCCCTCTACAGCTCTGCGTCTGCTGCTGCTGCCTCTGGTATATGCGAGCCGCAGCAGCAGTGGCAGAAGCAGTGGCAGCAGCGGCGCCGAAGCAGCCACCACAGCTACCACTGCCATTCACAGATGGGAGAACCTGGTCGTTCAGTTACGCTGCCCCTTCCACTTGCCGTTAACCCCGCCGCCACCGTCGCCGCCGCCGCCGCCGCCAATGGCGCCAGAGATACGCACTCCTCAGCTGCCGCTGCCGCCGTCAGTGCTGACGACGCTGCTACTGCCTTCACTGCTACTGCTGCTCCGACAGATCCCGAGTACGCACTCCCCAACACAAGCACCGTTTTGGGGCCATTGCTCGCCGGGTCGGTGTCGCGACGGTCGAGCTTCCCCTCCGTCAGCTCCACAGGCTCCACAGCTGGCGACGCTGCTGCCGCGGCGGCTGCGACGGCAGCACTGTGGGTGGGCCGGGCTGACGGCGGCGGCAGCGGTGGCGGCGGTTACCACTCGGCACGTATACGCGGCCTCCGCCATTCGCTAAGCGCGTCGCCTCCGTACGGCATCGGGCACCAGCAGCCGCTGCCGGAGCTGGCGGAAGAGGCGACGCCGGTTGTGGTCGCGGCGACTGACGCCGCCGCGTTGGCCGCGGCGGCGTTGGCCCTGCCGCCTGGCGCCCAACGCCGGAACTCCGTCTGCGTAGCGATGTTTGGCCGTACGCCGCCGCTCTCTGTCGTACAAGCTGGCAGCGGCGGCGGCGGCGGCGGAAGGGACGCCGAGCGTAACTCCTGGGGTGGCAGCGGCAGCGGCGGTGGCTACTCCGCAGCGACTTCCTTCCGTGTTCGCCGCTATGGCTGGCCCCCGTTGGCACGTGTTGGAACGTGGGGTGCGTTATCACGGCCCTGGCCCGAATACCCCGCCTCCGCGGCCTCCGCTGCCGCTGCCGTCGCCGCATTGGGTGGCGCTGCTGCTGCCTCCCCGACGCTTCCGCTTCCACTTCCGATGATGACACGTGGACGATCCCGGCTACGAGTCGCGTCGACGTCACTGGATGGTGGCCCCGAGGCCACTTCGGGAGGCGGCGACGACGCCTCTGCCGCTGCCGGAGGTTGTGACGCTGGCGGCGCCGCAGCTGACGGTGAGGGAAATAGGTGTCGTACTGCCCCCGCCGCCGACGAAGACGTTGACGCTGGGGTGGGGCCGGGGCCAGACCAGCGGTGTCGGGACCCGTCTTCCTCGCCACCGCCGCCGCCACACCGCAGCCGTGCCCGCCATTGCCAAGGAGCGCTGGCAACGATGACAGCGCCACCGACCCGTGGGTCGCGTCCGCTGGCGGCGGCGGCTGCTGCTCTAAAGCTCGTCCATCGCCTCTGAACGACATCCCCGGCGCAACCGGAATAGAGGAAGAGCAGCAGCGTTGCCTGGATCCCCTGCTAGTACCGGCTTCTGCTGTTGCTAATGCAGGGCTTGCGGGTAAAGCGCCAGGACGACATGAAGAAGGACGAGATTGCAACAGCGCGGATACTGATGCCGTTGCTTCTTTCGAGGGCTTTCAGCTCCACAACGCGAGTTCACCGCTGCCTCTGCCGCTTGCCGCCGTTCCCTCCTGCCTGTTGCCCGCTGGTGACGGCAGCACAGCGGCCGCCTCGGGCCTCATCAGCGGACCCGGAGAAGGAGGAGGAGCCGAGGGCGCAGCAGCAGCAGCAACTGATGGAGCTGCAATAGCAGCAGACGTAACGGCAGGTACTGCGGTTTAAGGAGGAGGAGGAGGAAGGGAAGGAGCGACGGTGGGAGTCAATGGTAAGCTTGGAAGCTGTTGCCGCGAACCGGTCGGGACAACAGCTTCCGGGTAGATCGCCCGCAGCAACTGCGGCAATTGAGAGCTCAGGTGGCGGAGCGTCGATTGATCGGGGGGGGGGTGCTGTTACGGTAGCAGTTATGGCCGTGTAAAGTTGTAAACGCTTGCAACCAAGACACAACAGCGATGAGGCATCGGTATCCGTTCCGCAAGCAGATGAAGATAAAGCAACTGCGCGTTGTTTAAGGGGCATTTTATTCAGGAGGGATGCCTCGAGAGGGTTCCATTCTTTGGCTATGAATCCAAATATCCTATACCATTTTGCTACTGCCGATGTTTCGTTTGAGGGACGCCTTCCATTCAGGGTTGGTTGCATGCACGCGTGTTGCTATGGAGGGTTCATGCCACATGTGTGGGATCGCTTTGTTTGCTGCTGATGCGAGTGTTGTTCAGTTTGCCGCTACTGAAATCTGGGAGAGTCATTGGAGGAGACATATGCAAGATCAGCAGCGGCTACAAACGCCTCTATGTTAGCTTTCGCACGCTCAGGCGAAGCAGCCGGCCCATGGGTCACCAATACATGACTAGTTACTTGCGAGCGGGAGAGAGGACCAGTGCGGTCCTGTGATAACGATACTGGCCGCGAGTGCGACCGTGCGCGTGCGCTCTTCATGAGATTAATGGGCCGGTGTAAATTGATCGTGTTCATTGCTTATCCCGTCCGTGCAATTCACGTACGGTGTTACCCGTGCGCGTACTGACGTGCACTTGGTGTGATGTGATGTATGTGATGGCAGTTGGCGGTTGGTAGTCGGGGGTAGTTGGCGGTTGACGGTAGTTGGCAGTCTTGAAACGCCTGGGAGCGTTTATATGTATGTTGTGTAGGCCTCGCCTCTGCGCGGTAAAACGAGCGCTCTCCCCAGCCAGTGACAGTGTACGAGTATCTGATGTTGATGACACGTATGCTGGGTAGCGCTAATGCTATGGGTTAATGCTATGGGTAATACGGAATGGTTTTGCCACCAAGTGGGCTAGGATGGGGGTGTACATCTCGTCTGGGTAGTGAGGAAGCTACGTACAGGTTAATAAGTCAGGCTATTTGGCAGAGAGAGGAGCCCAGGCACACTGCACGGTGCGCGCACGCCGGTGGGTGAGTTGGAAGGGCGCGCGGGCGCATTCCTTCATGGTTTCCGTACTTCGGAAGGAGTTGTTCTACTTCCATCATTCAGGCAGCGCGTACAGGGGGCCCCATGCATACTTTGTGTCACGGACAAGCCCCACCCAACCCTACCCAGGCGAGGCATCCGAGGCGCAGTCCAGCTAACCAGAAGCATGGCGTGCCTGACGTACTCGGTTGATATCAACCCGAGCTCGTGGAGTAGGACTCATACCAGTACAGGGAACATGTGGTGGCGAATACGGCATTGCCCCCAGCAGTCCGCTTCAGAGAGTTCATGGACAGGGGGTGCAACCCTTTCCATTGCTTAAGAGAAGATGGCAAGGAACCAGGAATAAGAAGTGCAGCCGTACGGGCTTTGCAGTTGCAGCGTGGACATCGGGAGTGCCGCTGTACTCCTTCCCAATTCGCCAGACGCGCACATCGGTTTCAGGTGCCGGCGGAATACGGGAGGGCGGTGTCGGGTGAAACCTCTATGGCCTCTGGAGAGAGCGGTCTTCGGGCGGCATTTGATGATTCTGGTGTACGGGAGGCTCTGAAACCACTACGAAAGAAAGGCAAATGTGACAAATGTTTCTATCACACAGTCTGCACTTCTTGGGAGACTACGTATATCAAGCCTCCCTTCGGTCGGGTGAGAAGGCGAAATCTGCTGGCACGCTTAGCATATTGAAGTGTTTGGGAACCAGGGCAGCGAAAGGCATAGGGGTGAGTCGAAGGTCATGGTGCTAAGCCCGTCTATGTGCATGAAAGGAAGCCGAATCTTACAAAAGAAATGCGCATACGCCTATGCTTCCAAGCGCGGGCCGGGCCAGGGTGGGACGGTGCATGAATGCAAAGCGCCCCGGCTGGGCTAGTTACGTTAAGCTTTAGCTGGATGACACACAGTCCTGCCTGGGCAGCTGGGCTATTGCACCCCTCCCCGTGATGTTCCTGTGTTGCCTGAGCTCAATTGAGCAGGGCAGGAATACCTACATGCATATGCAAGCCCTTTGGGAAGGGCGCGGACGCTGCGTGGACGGGGGCTATGGCAGGACAGGGCTGGGCATGCTGCGTGTATGAGTGACGGTGATTCGCCCGGTGATGCCTGCGCGCCCGGGTGCTTGGAAGTTGGGCAGGACACGGATGCCTGTATGGATGGGCAATAACACCTGCACGTAGTGGCGCTGTGATGTGGACAGGGGGATGTCTGCACCTTAAGGCTCGCATGGGCGCAAGTAGTCTTGGGTGATGCCTGCACGCGTGAGCACTGGCCCTTTCGCAATATAAGCACGGGCGGGGATGAACGCGGCAGGGATGCCTGCATGCCCGCGCTAGGGCCCGTGAGCTGGGCGGGTGTGTGTGTGCATAAGGGCGGTCATACCGGGAGAGGGTGAGGATGCATATCCGCAGCTGGGCGAGATGAATTGTGCCCTGCTCCAGCACATACCGTCCCGGCTGGGCGAGATACACTGCACCCCTTCCCGGCGCCTGCAGGGTAGGTGCACTGATAGCCTGTTTGCATGGGGGTATGTATGGGCGCCAGCTGTCAGCCAAAGCGGGAAAGGCTGCATGCACGGGTGGACGTACTTCAGCCCTTACCTCAGCAGGGTGAAGATGCATGGACGCCCTGCATCCCGCAGTTGGCCAGTGTGGGGACACCGTCCCCGCTGGCGTCTAGGAAGGGTGCGCATGCTGCGTGTACAGGGGCTAGTGAGCAGGGCGGTAATGCGTGCGCCCACGGGCGATGATACCTTGGGTTGGGGCCGCATGAACACCAGCACTTGGCAGGGCAGGGATGCATGCTTGCATGGGTGCCAGAACAACGCTGGCAGGACGGGGCACAACGCATACTTGTTTGCCTGCGTGCATGGGGGTGCAGGGATGTCTACATACCGGTACATGGGCCCAGCTGTCAGGCAAAGCGGGGAAGGCTGCACGCACGGGTGTACATACTTTAGCCCATACTTCAGCAGGATGGAGATGCATGCAAGCCAGTGGTCGCGAAGAGCAGGGAGCCAGCACGCGTGGGCGCTTTGGTATGGGCAGGATACCTGTGCGTTTGAGAGCCGTAGTGGGAGAGCGTGAGGGGTCCGTCTTGCTAGAGCACCTGTTGACATTCATGGGATGCCTTCGGCATGCCACATCTGTGCTGCTTGCGCGCTGCGTTCACTCGATGCTGTCGTTTTGCATGTTCTTGCTGCACTCAACCTGTGTTTGCGGCAATCGTCGTATTGGCAAACCTTGAACTGTGCGAGCATGCCGGCACGCACGGGTGCTTTGTACCGGTAGTTGCCTACACAAATGTATGGGTTTCAGCCGTTAAGGGTTGGGTAGCCTGCACAAACAGCAGGGCACGGCGGGGATGCCTGCCTGCACACGTGCTTGGTACTTGGGCAAAGTGGAGATTGCCCTGCATGCATGAGCGCTGTGATTTCAGGAGGAGGGACGCTTGCACGCTTGGGCGCTGTGCTTGGGCAAGGCGTAGATGCCACACATGGACACCCGTCTTTATTAAGTATAGAGGCTCTTCCACGAATGAAAGCTAGCCCCTTGGCAGCTTGAGCACGCACGAGGATGCATGCGCACAGCATTTGGGCAGGGGGGATGTCAGCATGCACCTTCTGGCACGCATGGGCTCGAGCCTTCGGAAACCACTGTGATGCCTGCATGCATGAGTGCTTTCACAGTTTGGGCACAGGCGGGGATGCACTCAGCAGGGATGCCTGGATGCAGGGTGAATGCGTTGCATGCACGGGGGCCAGTGAACAGGGTGGTGTTGTGTGCCCAAACAGGCGCTGCCGTAGCATGCACCATCCCGAGATGCACTGCAAGTCTGCAACCCTTCCCGACACCGGCAGGGTAGGTGCACTGATTGCCTGCGTGCATGGGGGTATGTATGGGCGCCAGCTGTCAGGCTAAGCGGGGAACGCTGCATGCATGGGCGTACGTACTCCAGCAGGGTGGAGATGCATGCACGCCAGTGGTTGGGTAGAGAGGGGGAGGCAGCACGCATGGGCGCTTTGGTGTGGGCAGAATGCTTGCGCGTTTGGAAGCTGTACTGGGAGAGAGAGTCAGGGCCCCCAGGCCACCTGCTGACCTGCCCGTTCATGGAGCTGCCTGTGGCATGTGGCACCTGTGCTCCTTGCTCGCGTATGTCACCTCAAGCCACCACATGCGGTTGGCTTGCAAAGCAATGATGGCGGGATGCAGCAGGTCAAAGGGGGGGCGATGATGCCAGCCTGCACTTGGCAGCTCAAGCACGCATGGGGCCGCACGCGCACAGCATGGATGCCTGCATGCCTGTTATTATGGGCTTTGGGCAGAGCGGGAATGCTGTGTGTATGGGTTGGGCAGGCTGGCGCATGCCCACATGGGCGTCAGTACTTGGCAGGCCAGGGAAGACATGGATGTTTGCTGGGCAGGGTGGAGACGCTGGGATCGAGCGTGACACTACTTGCACTACCGCTCGCGGGTTTTGTCGGGGCACGTGCTGACCTTCATGTTCGTGAAGCTGCTTGGCGCATGTGCAGCCCGCACGTGCACACTTTGGCTCACCGTTCTGCTTCTCTATCATTCTAGTAACGCGTTAGCAAGCATTGCAGGCGGCGAGTATGAGTTTGGCGTGGAAATGCAGAACGCATGCACTACTCAAGTGACAGGCCATCGCCGTCCTCTTCAAGGAAACATATTTAAAATGTTCTAGCTTAATGCATCTAAGCGCTTCACGCGCTCACAGAACGTCTCTGAGAGCGCAACTAGAATTCGTCGCCCCTTTGCGCTTTCGGCGGACGCTTTTCGCCTACACCGCTTTTGTCCATAACCAGTACCTATAAGCTAGTACAATGCAGCCTTAGCTTTGACAATTTCACGTCCGAAGCTCAGCCCAGAAGTCTGAACGTCGCCCGACGCGAAGGAGCCTTTATTTACATAGCTTTTTTCATACGTTTTTACAGCTAACGTCAGAGCGTACATCACGGTTGTTCCTGCGTCCTTCGCTGCAACCCTTCTATAGCGGTTCTGGAGCCCCAGGTTTTCTTGTCGTACACCAGTCCCCTGCGGGCGAAACGTTAAAGGCGTGCCTTCGAAATCAAGCCTCCCTTTGGTCGGGTGAGAGGGCAAAATCTGTTGATTGCAGGTAGTATGTGGTGTGCGAATGTAGGGGCGGATAGCCAAGCTGGTGGTGCGAGGGTGTTTACAGAGGGGTAGCCCAAGTGCGTCCTCAAGTAGCGTTTATTCACCGGGCGGTGGCTGGGACAATACTGAACCACCCCCCTTAGCATCGGAGACATGGGACATTGCCATGGGAAGTTTGAACAAACTAAGAGTACAACGAAATAAGGCAACACGTAGATGGAAATCGAAGGTGTTTTTTTAAAAAGCTTATTGGCGGCGTGAACATGCGTAATGAAAGCGGGAAGCTATTGTAGGTGACGAAGCCGTCCTGGATGGTAGTCTCGCCGTGCACCGCGGTGATGGAGGGCAGAACGCAGTGGGCGGCAGCGCGTGCAGCCTCAGCGAAGGTGGTGACGGTGCGGTCGGAGGCGCCGTCGTGGGGGGCGCCGGTGTTGGGTACAGTGTAACCATGCGCGGGCATGAACATGTGCGTAGCGGCGTCCGAGGTGACGATGACCTGGGGGGGTGTGGGTTACAGCAGAACGAATGCGAAGTTAAACTGGTAGTTGTAGAAACGTGAAGGAAGGTTGGATGGAGGAGAGCAGGGCGGTAGGGCAAAGGCAGCAGGGATGTAAGGCAGAGCAGATGTGTACCGGCTAGAGAGTACCTGAATGGAGTCTGCATCGTTTAGGGCGGTGGTGAAAAGCGTGCCGAGGACGATGATCGCCGTGTGGTCGTCAGCGCTTGCGTTGCAGGTGGGGCAGTGCGTGGCATTCAGGGGCATGGAGGAGCCGCAGGCGGTGCACCTGTGGAGGGAATGAAGAGGGAGACGGGGTTAAAGGAATGACAAGGGAAGGGGTGCAATAGAAGGCGTGAA